GTATTTCCATACTATGAGGTTGGAATAATACTGTGAAATTGTGAAAATTATGATAATGCCCTTTCAGTGTTTGAAAATACGGACTGAAATTTCAGCCTGTTTTGGTGGGATGGTGTTTTGGCCTGGCTGGTGACATCTAGGTGGTAAATTAATTAATAGACCACTAAGAAAGAGAGTTCCTAACCTCTCTGCCAATAACAGCTAGTTTTCCCCTCTCCGCTCAGACCACTCCCAGACAGTCCAAGCAAAATAATTTATTGAAAAATGTATCTTTGCCAAGAAGCTATTTTGGTTTCTTTTTTACCCTTTTAATGGAAAACAACCACAGTAAGGTACATCATTGTTACCCAGAAGTGATTTGATATTGAGATAAAAACAGCTGCATTGGACATTCAACAGAGGTGGTGATGACCTTTCCTAAGACCTTAAAACATGCATTAGCGCCCCCAAGCTAAGCCATGAGTTCAGAGGGCTAACAGAGTCTTGTGGTCATGTGAAAACAACCTAGGCCCAAATACCAGTTGCGTATCAGCACATAGGTCCACACGGCAAAGTGATGTTTTTCAATGAAATTCACACAAGTGGGGAAAAGTGGGGTATGGAAGCAATCGTTCCCCATTGAAAGCTGTGCAGCCAAGCCTGATTTCAAGCAATAACAACACACATAGTAATTTTTAAAATGATAACTGGATTATAGCTCCTGTCCAAATGTTGTGTAATATACATACTCTGGATCGCTCCTACAGACAGTGAGACACATGGCCGTGGCTTGCTATATAAAGCAGGAAGACAGGCATTGAGGCATTCAGTTACTGTTTGATTGAACGTTAAAATGGGAAAAACAAGTGACCTAAGCGCTGAGGAGCATTTTTGTAATAATAATGGGGTGGGCCTGGCAGGGCCTGGCTCCTCAGTGGGTGGGCCTGTGTCCACCCAGGCACACCCACTTCTACACCCCTTGGTGGCGGTGGTGTACTGGTGTGGGGAATGTTTTCCTGGCACACTTTAGGTTCCTTGATACCAATTGAGAAATGATTTAACACCATGCCCTGAAGAATTCAGGCTGTTCTGGAGGCAAAGAGGGGTCTGACCCGGTACTAGATGGGTGTACCTAATAAACTGGTCACTGAGTGTATACAGTATTCATGTCAGTCATCAGTCAACTCTACTACACTAAAATGTTACTTCAACCATTAAATTCTAGCAATGGCTAACTATCCTACCAGTCTGTCTTAAAGGTCAACTGCCCCTTAGAACCAACTTCCCTGGTTTTAAACAGCCTATGTGGCATCGATAGGACTCAGAAACATTCATTCTAGTGTCAAAATTGACTAACGTGTAAATAGGATAGTTTTAGTCATAGTCAGTCTCGTCCAAAAGTTTTGTAAGTGAGTTCACCACCACTTACTCAAGGGTAGGGTATAGATTATGGTCATGCCCACTTGCCCAGTGCCCACTCACACGAGAGAAGCAGCTGTACTGATTGCACTCTATCAGCTGTGCGCGCTTTATCCAATCATAGCAGCCAGAACCTCCAGACAGTGAGACAGACCTGCCCATTACACAGCACCTCAGACTTGTTTACATAAGACAACTGTCGTGTCGCGTCGGCTACAGGTGCTCTTGCTGTAAAACAAAGGAGTCTGCCTATGCTGCCCTTTGATTAGAAAGTCTTTATTCATTATCACAAGCTTACAGCATAAGTTTACAGACACGCGTTGTCTGGAGAGCAGTGGCCTCGAATTATAATAACCGCTCTGGGGTTTATTGTCTAAAACCCTTCTTATATAGACAATACCAAAATAAGGGTTACCCCCTCTTCTGGCCAATCACCAGTCTCCCCTCGGGCGTCACCCTCCAAGCGGCACATTTCAAATAACATCATAAAACATCCCCCCTCTGGCCGACAACACATCGCCAATGTTATGCTGAAAAAACCCCTGGCCCTAAGCCCTTCATGGAGTGGCCACTTGCTGATGTGTTTGATAGTGTCAATCACTTGAGTCTGCCATTTTATTGGGAAGAATTCAGACGATCAGAGCGCACTTGTATCCCAGCTGCAACTTGTCAATATTCCAAAACCCATTTGCGAGCATCTTGTTTCCCACGAGACCTGTTTTGTAACATGATTCCCTATGAAACACTGCCAGACAGACTCACACTCTGGTAATAGTGAGAAAGTTGTAAAAAACATAAAAAACGGCACCGAAGCACACACACATCACCACTCGCCAGTGACTTGATAAGCTGATTGTGTGCCTGCTAGCTTCTACATGCTAGCTTCATTGACAAACACAGAATTGTAACTTAGCTAGCTAGCAAGTGATTTTGGGCACTGATAAACAGCGTGTATCTTGTATTTTATTTATGATAGTTTGACAGCTTGCAGATGATGAAATTGTAGATCTGTTATTGTCCTCAAAATCAGTCCTGAGCGTGCAGCCAGACTTTCCCGATCCAATAGACTGTATGCAGTGCACTGACTAGTTTTTCATGCAATTTTTTAAAACTTGAGAAATACTGCACCAAACAGCTTAGATAGATTCAAAATTGTGCGACTAAGACCTCCTCTGCAAAAGCGTCTAAATTAATTACAGATTTCTTGATTTAGCTTAGATTAATTCTGACTGTTTTAAGGAAGTGACTATTTTGAGGAAGTGGCTATGTTGTTGCTACGGTGCCTTAGGAAGGACAAACAACAGTACCTACCAGGGTATGATATGCGAACATAACACACCCACATCAAACAACACCGCCAAGACAACTCTCGTATGGCTTCAGTCATGGCCGCTAGCATTTCTTAATGAGCAACCTTCAAAACGAGGCCAAATCTGGTAGTACAGTCGCCCTTTAATGAGTCTTAGCACGCTAATTGCATACCCTGCACATTAAAATGTTGTTTTATTTAAGGGTTATGCAGTAGGTTGATAACAATATCACCAACATATGTTGTATTGGACATTTCAAACAACATTCCCAATTAATGAGAAAACAGTCATGGTGTTTAATTTAAAGGTGCAATATGCAGAAATCGCTCCGCCATTTCCTGGTTGCTAAAAGTCTAAATAGTTCGCCTAATTTTTGTTTATGTGACAAAACAAGCAGTCATTGTGTAGAGAATCATTGTAACATCTAAACCACTGTGAAATATCAAATCACATTTTATTTGTCAAATCCACAGCAACAGCTGTAGCCCCAAGGTAGACCTTACCGTGAAATGTGTATTTACAAGCCCTTAAGCAACAACGCAGAGTAAAAACTAAAGGAAGACAATTTGGTAAATAAACTAAAGGAAAAATAGTAACACAATAAAAATAACGAGGCAAATACATTTTCCATAACCAAAAATGTTGTATTTTCAGCTGTTTGAAGCTGGTGTACAAAACCGAAAGTAAAAGACTGAAAAACTCAATTTAAGAATGAGAAGCCTAGAAATAGCCCACATAGAACATATCTACAGCTTCTTAGACTTGCTTTCAATTAGAATGACAGATCTATAACTCACATTTCTATGATAATTTGGTCGGGTCGCCGACGATTTACCATGGCAACCTTGGGGCTAATTTTTATGGGCGCCAATGGCAGATTTTCAGGGAGTTTTACATCTGTACCCCAGTAGAGAGGCATGACCACTGTGAACGTCTTTATGAAATACATAAAGACATGTTTTGTACTTCCAAAAAAGGTATAAATAAAAAGTTTGATGCAACCGAAAAAATGCCTCTTCAGCACCTCACATGTATTTTTCGGTTGCTTTTACATTTTTATGGGGGTACCGAATAGTCATATTTTCGGTTGCTTGTGTTTTTGGATGTACATACCGGCCGTGTCTGCAGTGTAGGCCTAAATGACAATAGTTGCTAATCGAAACTCCATATTTGGTGAGTAACGATCGTATTTTGACATTATTAAGCTTGAAAGGCTGGTGAATGGCAAGTTGAATGGCTGCTTCCTGGGTTTAAAGGAGATTCGCCATATAAACGTATAATGTAATTCTGGTTCAGGAGATTCCTAGCTCTTGCCAGGGGATTCCCTATACTATTTTATGATGTGCAATCTTCCTGGGGAGGTTAGGGGATTCTCAGGCAATGGCCAACCATGAATTTCACTTTCAGTTTGCAAAAATAAGGCATATCTTTATATGTAGGCTATTATGTATTTTCCTTCTCTAATTTTAACACCTTCTCTTCTACACTACAGAAAGAAACCAGCTTAATGCCAGCAGGCAGACATAATAAAAAGCGTTACACTGGGATGCTGGCCCATGCTGATTCCCATAGTTGTGTCAAATTGGCTGGATGTCCTTTGGGTGGTGGACCGTTCTTGAAACACATGGGAAACTGTTGAACATGAAAAACCCAGTAGCGTTGCCGTTCTTGACAAAAACCGGTGCCGTTCAAAGGCACTTAGGCTAAATATCTTGTCTTGGCCATTCACCCTCTGAATGGCACACATACACAATCCATGCCTCAATTGTCTCAAGGCATAAAAATCTTTATTTTAACTTGTCACCTCCCCTTCATCTACACTGATTGAAGTGGATTTAACAAGTGGCATCAATGAGGGATCATAGCTTTTACCTGGTCAGTCTGTCATGGAAAGAGCAGGTGTTCATAATGTTTTGTACACTCAGTGTAAAGTCTTGCAGTGACAACTAATTTTCTGTTTGTTATGTTTGTTCCTTTAAATAATGACAAACCGGGGCGTAGGTTGAACTACTTTTAATAAACTAATACTTTAGCTAGCAATCTCCTTGTGTAGCCATGCAAGGCATACTTCAAATCCCTAGCCTTGGTAGTTCACTTCCGTTTTAGATAGCTTTATATAAACTGCAACCCTTATGTTCTGGATCATCATTGTCATTGCTGTAGTTCTACAAATGTTTTTTCTACTCGTCTGCGTTCTAGGTATGTTGTCATTTCTTTTTAACAATGAGTTTGATATTAGTCCAGCTGGGCAGGCTCACCTGAAATTATGATTTATCTTGTGTTTTTCTATAGCTGTCTCCTTGCAATGTGGGCTCACTCAGGATATGCCTAACCAAGAGGTGAAGTCAGTTTGTGGAGAGGACTCAATTCTGAAATGTAAGCCTGGGGTCCAGTACCGGGCAGTGAAGTGGTACAAGGTAAGCTTTCTATTATTGTGATAGCACAAACTCTGTGTTTTGTACCGTCTGACCAAATTTTGTACAAGTGCAATATGAGCAAAACATATACAGCACTGGTCCCAGACCAGCTGTTAAGGGCATATAGATCACACATCGCATATCACACCCTCTTCTCCCAGCTCGGTGAGGAGCCCTCTAATAAGGTGTCTGGTCTATTGATGAAGATGCTATCAAATCAAATCAAATCAAATCAAATTTTATTGGTCACATGCGCCGAATACAACAGGTGCAGAAATTACAGTGAAATGCTTACTTACAGCCCTTAACCAACAGTGCATTTATTTTAAACAAAAAAAGTAAAAATAAAACAACAACAAAAAAAGTGTTGAGAAAAAAAAGAGCAGAAGTAAAATAAAGTGACAGTAGGGAGGCTATATATACAGGGGGGTACCGTTGCAGAGTCAATGTGCGGGGGCACCGGCTAGTTGAGGTAGTTGAGGTAATATGTACATGTGGGTAGAGTTAAAGTGACTATGCATAAATACTTAACAGAGTAGCAGCAGCGTAAAAAGGATGGGGTGGGGGGGGCAGTGCAAATAGTCCGGGTAGCCATGATTAGCTGTTCAGGAGTCTTATGGCTTGGGGGTAGAAGCTGTTGAGAAGTCTTTTGGACCTAGACTTGGCACTCCGGTACCGCTTGCCGTGCGGTAGCAGAGAGAACAGTCTATGACTAGGGTGGCTGGAGTCTTTGACAATTTTGAGGGCCTTCCTCTGACACCGCCTGGTATAGAGGTCCTGGATGGCAGGAAGCTTTGCCCCAGTGATGTACTGGGCCGTACGCACTACCCTCTGTAGTGCCTTGCGGTCGGAGGCCAAGCAGTTGCCATACCAGGCGGTGATGCAACCAGTCAGGATGCTCTCGATGGTGCAGCTGTATAATTTTTTGAGGATCTGAGGACCCATGCCAAATCTTTTTAGTCTCCTGAGGGGGAATAGGCTTTGTCGTGCCCTCTTCACGACTGTCTTGGTGTGTTTGGACCATGATAGTTCGTTGGTGATGTGGACACCAAGGAACTTGAAGCTCTCAACCTGTTCCACTACAGCCCCGTCGATGAGAATGGGGGCGTGCTCAGTCCTCTTTTTTTTCCTGTAGTCCACAATCATCTCCTTTGTCTTGGTCACGTTGAGGGAGAGGTTGTTGTCCTGGCACCACACGGCCAGATCTCTGACCTCCTCCCTATAGGCTGTCTCATCGTTGTCGGTGATCAGGCCTACCACTGTTGTGTCGTCGGCAAACTTAATGATGGTGTTGGAGTCGTGCCTGGCCATGCAGTCATGGGTGAACAGAGAGTACAGGAGGGGACTGAGCACGCACCCCTGAGGGGCCCCCGTGTTGAGGATCAGTGTGGCAGATGTGTTGTTACCTACCCTTACCACCTGGGGGCGGCCCGTCAGGAAGTCCAGGATCCAGTTGCAGAGGGAGGTGTTTAGTCCCAGGATCCTTAGCTTAGTGATGAGCTTAGAGGGCACTATGGTGTTGAATGCTGAGCTGTAGTCAATGAATAGCATTCTCACGTAGGTGTTCCTCTTGTCCAGGTGGGAAAGGGCAGTGTGGAGTGCGATAGAGATTGCATCATCTGTGGATCTGTTGGGGCGGTATGCAAATTGGAGTGGGTCTAGGGTTTCTGGGATAATGCTGTTGATGTGAGCCATGACCAGCCTTTCAAAGCACTTCATGGCTACAGACGTCAGTGCTACGGGTCGGTAGTCATTTAGGCAGGTTATCTTAGAGTCCTTGGGCACGGGGACTATGGTGGTCTGCTTGAAACATGTTGGTATAACAGACTCAGTCAGGGACATGTTGAAAATGTCAGTGGAGACACTTGCCAGTTGGTCAGCACATGCTCGGAGTACACGTCCTGGTAATCCGTCTGGCCCTGCGGCCTTGTGAATGTTGACCTGCTTAAAAGTCTTACTCACATCGGCTACGGAGAGCGTGATCACATAGTCATCCGGAACAGCTGGTGCTCTCATGCATGCTTCAGTGTTGCTTGCCTCGAAGCGAGCATAGAAGTGGTTTAGCTCGTCTGGTAGGCTTGTGTCACTGGGCAGCTCGCGGCTGTGTTTCCCTTTGTAGTCTGTAATAGTTTTCAAGCCCTGCCACATCCGACGAGCGTCAGAGCCAGTGTAGTATGATTCAATCTTAGACCTGTATTGACTCTTTGCCTGTTTGATGGTTCGTCGGAGGTCATAGCGGGATTTCTTATAAGCGTCCGGGTTAGAGTCCCGTTCCTTGAAAGCGGCAGCTCTACCCTTTAGCTCAGTGCGGATGTTTCCTGTAATCCATGGCTTCTGGTTGGGGTATGTACGTACGGTCACTGTGGGGACGACATCATCGATGCTCTTATTGATGAAGCCAGTGACTGATGTGGTGTACTCCTCAATGCTGTCTGAAGAATCCCGGAACATGTTCCAGTCTGTGCTAGCAAAACAGTCCTGTAGCTTAGAATCTGCGTCATCTGACCACTTTTTTATTAACCGAGTCACTGGTGCTTCCTGCTTTAGTTTTTGCTTATAAGCAGGAATCAGGAGGATAGAGTTATGGTCAGATTTGCCAAATGGAGGGCGAGGGAGAGCTTTGTATGCGTCTCTGTGTGTGGAGTAAAGGTTATCACCTAACAGCACCACGCAATGGTACGCCGGTCTGGAGCGTGAAGTGGAACTTTTGGCTGATAATTATTTCGATATCTTCCTGCCCAATGTAACAGCTGTTGATAGTGGGAGGTATAAGTGTCTCCTGGCAGCACCTGTAGGAGAGCAGAACCAGGAGAGGCAGATTGTCCTCAGAGTGACAGGTGAGTGTGTTCTACTCTCATTATGTGCTTGTTTTGGTATGTAGACCTACTGTATACTGTATGTGAGTGTTTTAAATTGGACCCAGAGAGAGTTCATCGTTTAAAATGTTTCCAGTGATGCTCAAGGATTTGTGGATAATTTTTTTGCAGGTTGCCTTGAGTCCACAGACCAATCAGAAGAAAGGGATACCATCCTAGTTCTTTCCATTGTGGGGCTTGTGGCAGCATTGCTGATATTCACCATCAGATATGTGAGTTACAACACTGCCAGCTGTTCCTCTGACTTATTATTTTTTTAAACTTATAAAATAAACAAAAATTGTATTGTGATGGGTTCCATGTATTGCATGTATTTTTTAAATTTTGTTATTTTTTATGTTTCATGTTATTTACTCAATAATGTTAATCTTTACCATAGGTCATCCTAAGGAATATGTTTTTGCAAAGGAGTAAGAAGTATCGACAAGAACCACTTCTAGATGCACCCCTTGAGAAGAAAGATTTAATGTTGATCTACACTCCAAACTGGTCAGGACAGGCTTCCATAAAACATGTCTGTGTGTGAGAGCCTGTTCTGCTAGTTTGGGCTCATTGTATACTTGAATGTGAAGTGGAAATGCAGAGAAAGAATAGGGCACTTTTTGAAGCTGAGCAAGGATCCTAAGAGTCATATCGATCACTGAACCTGTACACAGCCCATCTGTAATTAGCCCACCCAAATACCTAATCTCCATATTGTTATTTATTTTGCTTATTTGCACCCCAGTATCTCTATTTGCACATCATCTTCTGCATATCTATCACTCCAGTGTTAATACTAAATTGTAATTATTTTGCACTATGGCCTATTTATTGCCTTACCTCTATAACTTACTACATTTGGACACACTGTATATAGATTTTCTATTGTGTTATTGACTGTACGTTTTGTTTATCCCATATGTAACTCTGTGGTGTTGTTGTTTTTATCGCACTGCTTTGCTTTATCTTGGCCAGGTCGCAGTTGTAAATGAGAACTTGTTCTCAACTGGCCTACCTGGTTAAATAAATAAAAAATGTCTACTTTCCAGGAGAAGAGTTCACCTCTAGAGCAGGGAGGCAGACAACCCTCTGGCCGGTTCTGTAGAACTAAGATGTGTAGGCTTTTCAAAGAAATGAAACAGAAACAGTAGCCTACACCCTTTCACTCAGACAGCCAAACAGCAGTACAGCCAGGCTAGGGCAGCAGTTCTCCAGCAACGACTGCCTGTCTGCAGCATTCACACACCTGAGATGCTCAAGGAGAAGAGCCTGGTGAAGGGACCCCACGATCTAAGCCCCAAGATCTAACCTCAACAAGGAGCTTCAGGAAAGGGAGAAGGAATAATTCATGACAAGGGGTCATTCTGCAGGGTCGCTCCATGGCAATGTTGGGGTTAAATCATTTACATTTCAGTCAACCCAGGAATTGAAGTTGACGTTGAGTTTGAACTGGAAAATGACCAATGTGTGCAGCATTGAATTTCATGCCTAATGAAATTCCTGTATTGACTGGTATTGAAATGGAATTGATCTGAGCACTGTTTCATGGGGCTCATTCGTGTTGGAAGGGTTTGGTGGGTCACGCTGGACTCTGCACAGAGAGATGAAACCAACCAAGACAGCATTTAATCTGAGCCAAGCAAAGCTCCCAATGAACTCTAATGTTCAGGCATAATTTACTTAAAAAATATATTTTGCGAGGCCATAACAGTATTTTATTAATTTTGTATGCAGGATTTTAAAAAAGTAAATTTTTGTCCAAGCAAACCGAAAGTGGGCTTTGGTGAATATTGGCGAAAAGTAATAGACAGAAAATAAACTTTGTATAAATCTCCATCAGGTTTTTTAAATAAAATAAAAATAAAAAATGTATTTGCCACATGCACCAAATGCAACAGGTGTAGTCCTTACAGTGAACTAGTCCATGGCTGTTCAGGAGTCTTATGGCTTGGGGGTAGAAGCTGTTAAGAAGCCTTTTGGACCTAGGCGCTTCGGTACCGCTTGCCGTGCAGTAGCAGAGAGAACAGTCTATGACTAGGGTGGCTGGAGTCTTTGACAATTTTTAGGGCCTTCCTCTGACACCACCTGGTATAGAGGTCCTGGATGGCAGGAAGCTTGGCCCCAGTGATGTACTGGGCCGTACGCACTACCCTCTGTAGTGCCTTGCGGTTGGAGGCCGAGCAGTTGCCATACCAAGCAGTGATGCAACCAGTCAGGATGCTCTCGATGGTGCAGCTGTATAACTTTTTGAGGATCTGAGGACCCATGCCAAATCTTTTCAGTCCCCTGAGGGGGAATAGGCTTTGTCGTGCCCTCTTCACGACCGTCTTGGTGTGTTTGGACCATGATCAGCCATTCTGTGGATACATTGAAAATAAACAAGACATGTAAATAATTTTGTAACATATCTGACGTACATATGCTTGCTATGTGTTCTTAGATAAATGTTGTTTAACTTTTTCTTAAGACGAGTCATCACTTTTTTTGTCACCACAGTAGTGATGTTTCTCTGTGAACAGTCCATTGTTACCAGTGGCGATTTTAGCATGTAAATATTGGTGGGGCAAACCCAAAAAATGTTTTGGGGATGCATGCCGGCAAAGCCACTACAGAACACTAAACAATACATTCATTGCACTATTACGGTGACAAACGGTGCCCACAAACTGTTAGGGCCTACATAAAGCTGTCCCAATAGAAGAGTCCCAACAGCAGTCCCCAACACCTTACCACTGCTACACCTGGCTATCAGTGGAGCCTTGTCTGGCAGCGAAACAGTTCATTCAGCCTCATTTACTGCCTTTAAAAAAAACAAAGCTGATATGGCTGACTTGCTTAAACATATGTTGTTTCTACAGACAATTGAGATGTACAAACTATGGCATATGGGACGACGAGCGGATAAGAGGCAATCCGTAATCTCGATTTAAGACGTTAATGAACGAGCTAGGACGGACGTAGTCAATATAACTATTTGTTCAGCACTTTTGAAATGTACAGCGACAGAATTCAGAACATGGGCCGCTCTTACAGTATTCTCCCTGTACACCAAGTCAGGACCGTAGGATAAATAAAGGGGACATATAAGCAGACAATGAAAGCTCTTACAATATTAAATGATTACATTACTCTAAAACAGGTTATAGGCTACATGTGCACCACCAAGTCAGAACAGTAGGTGAGATTAAGAGGGGAAAAGGGACCAAATTATTAGGGTGAGGCACATGGGCTACTAACAGTTTACTACACAACATACACTGTTATGTGAATTATTTAACAAACTATTTCAGTGTCTCTGTGCGTCTCCCAAAAGGTTGTAAGTCTTTTGGGATTTAAGTAACGGACAGAGTCCCGGTCTGCATAGTCAGAGATATTTATTCATTGAGAATTCTGCCATCACAATTTCAGAGTCCATCTTTTATACTCATACGTCATACAAAAAAATCCCTCCCCTCTGTAGGCGGGCTGTAGTTTTCCACTCTAAAACTGCTATCCTGACCATCAGTTCACACACACACACAGATATACTCACATGCATACACACATACATACACACACACACACATGCATACACACACTCATACATACAGACTTTCTTATCATAGCCTACTCTCTGCATTCCTCAGTTATTGCCGTTCTCACAATATTCTGCACCATGTTTTCATAACAGTTTCTCCCCTCCCTAAATTGGGAGGCCTCTTTATCTTGGTTTCTCAGTTGTCTGTAGACAGTTCTCCTTGTCCTTTGTCTGGCCTAACTCTTACTCACATTGCTGAGTCTTTACTGGTCCTACACTCACACATTTCTAACACATTATACACAGTTTCAGGGTGTAATAATTAGTCATTAATAATTAATCTATCATACACTTAGTATTACCTTCTTAGCTACAGTATACATATCTCCCTGGCATATTACATCATTTATGCAGCAGCATACAATACATTTTTGGACTCACCTTGTTGTGCTATGCTCACTTGAACAGGAAGGTGGCGTGGCGGTCCTTCGTGGGCAAATTTTGTCATCAAACTTTATCAATAAAGTCTGGCATTCTCTGGATTTATGGTGCTTTCAAGACAACAGGGCACTCTGAAAAAAACAAGGTTGAATCATGATGGTGTCAGTGATATTCAGGTCGTAGCTCTAGAAAGAGGCCCGAGTTCCAATTCGGAGTTGGATGACCGTTCAAAATGTATTATGCCAGTCGGAGCTTGTTTTTCCCCGAGTTCCCAGTTGTCTTGAACTCACTGAAGTCAGATTTCCCAGTTCTGAGTTTCCAGTTGTTTTGAGAAGAAGAAGTCATGCTGGATTGGCAGCATGGCCAATGTTGAATGTTTATTATTTTAAGCTTGGAAAAGAGACCCTTAAACCCAGAGTTGGGACCACACACCCACTCCACTGAATAGCAGGCTAGTGATTGCTTTGCAATGCTTGCAGTTAGACACTGATTCCTTCCAAACCACTCATTGTTGAATTTGCGATTTCCAACTTGTTGTGTAATGTTTATGTCCAATGGCCGATGAGCACCGATACGTTTTATCTATAATTTCTCTTAATTATTTCTATTCATATGACAAGGATTTAAAAAAAGATTTGCCAGTAGATTGTCGATCTTTTGAGTGACAAGAATTATGTGAAGTCATTGTCAATCACATTACCCCAAACACTTTACAAGGTAACAACATCACACAGCATAAAATTTAACTAACCCATCTGCACGTTTTTTAATGAATGAAATACAGAAATATCTAATTTACATATGTATTCACACCCCTGAGTCAATACAGTGCCTTCGGAAGTATTCAGACCCCTTGACTTTTTCCACATTTTGTTAGGTTACAGCCTTAATCTAACATTTATTAAATAGCTTTTTTTCCTCATGAATCAACACACAATACCCCATAATAACAAAGCAAATTTCTTAAAAAAACAACAACTGAAATATCACATTTACATAAGCATTCAGACCCTTTACTCAGTACTTTGTTGAAGCACCTTTGGCAGCAATTACAGCCTTGAGTCTTCTTGGGTATGACGCTAAAAGCTTGGCACACCTGTACTTGGGGAGTTTCTCCCATTCTACTCTGCAGATCCTCTCAAGCTGTGTCAGGTTGGATGGGGAGCGTTGTTGCACAGCTATTTTCAGGTCTCTCCAGAGATGTTGGATTGGGTTCAAGTCCGGGCTCTGGCTGGGCCACTCAAGGACATTGAGACTTGTCCCGAAGCCACTCCTGCGTTGTCTTGGCTGTGTGCTTAGGGTCATTGTCCTGTTGGAAGTTGACCCTTCGCCCCAGTCTGAGGTCCTGAGCACTCTGGAGTAAGTTTTCATCAAGGATCTCTCTGTACTTTGCTCCATTCATCTTTGCCTCAAACCTGACTAGTCTCCCAGTCCCTGCCACTGAAAAACACCCACATAGCATGATGCTGCCACCACCATGCTTCACCGTAGGGATGGTGCCAGGTGTCCTCCAGACGTGACGCTTGGCATTCAGGCCAAAGAGTTCAATCTTAGTTTAATCAGACCAGAGAATCTTGTTTCTCATGGTCTGAGAGTCCTTTAGGTGCCTTTTGGCAAACTCCAAGCGGGTTGTCGTGGTCAAAAGTTTTGAGAATGACACAAGTATTGGTCTTCACAAAGTACGCTGCTTTAGTGTTATGAGACATTTTTGTCAGATGATACTATGGTATACTGAAGTATAATTACAAGCATTCCATAAGTGTCAAAGGCTTTTATTGACAATTACATTAAGTTTATGCAAAGAGTCAATATTTGCAGTGTTGACCCTTCTTTTTCAAGACCTCTGCCATCCGCCCTGGCATGCTGTCAATTAACTTCTGGGCCACATCCTGACTGATGGCAGCCCATTCTTGCATAATCAATGCTTGGAGTTTGTCAGAATTTGTGGGTTTTTGTTTGTCCACCCGCCTCTTGAGGATCGACCACAAGTTCTCAATGGGATTAAGGTCTGGGGAGTTTCCTGGCCATGGACCCAAAACGTCGATGTTTTGTTCCCCAAGCCACTTAGTTATCACGTTTGCATTATGGCAAGGTGCTCCATCATGCTGGAAAAGGCATTGGTCGTCACCAAACTGTTCTTGGATGGTTGGGAGAAGTTGCTCTCGAAGGATGTGTTGGTACCATTCTTCATTCATGGCTGTGTTCTTAGGCAAAATTGTGAGTGAGCCCACTCCCTTGGCTGAGAAGCAACCCCACACATGAATGGTCTCAGGATGCTTTACTGTTGGCATGACACAGGACTGATGGTAGCGCTCACCTTGTCTTCTCCGGACAAGGTGTTTTCCGGATGCCCCAAACAATCGGAAAGGGGATTCATCAGAGAAAATGACTTGCAGCTGTGTAAAGGAGTGGTGACAGCCCAGATCTCCCAGTATGCAGCTTCCATCCAGGCCAAGTGTTCCCAAGGCTTCCCCATCAACAACCGCACACTCATTGGGCCGCCCGGAACCAGGGGACCAACTAGAGAATCAGGCAAACCCGTGAGTCACACAGCCCCCAAACCAACCCCTATCTACAGTGAGGGAAAAAACTATTTGATCCCCTGCTGATTTTGTACGTTTTCCCACTGACAAAGAAATTATCAGTCTATAATTTTAATGGTAGGTTTATTTGAACAGTGAGAGACAGAATAACAACAACAAAATCCAGAAAAACGCATGTCAAAAATGTTATAAATTGATTTGCATTTTAATGAGGGTAATAAGTATTTGACCCCCTCTCATTCAGAAAGATGTCTGGCTCCCAGGTGTCTTTTATACAGGTAACGAGCTGAGATTAGGAGCACACTCTTAAAGGGAGCGCTCCTAATCTCAGTTTGTTACCTGTATAAAAGACACCTGTCCACAGAAACAATCAATCAATCAGATTCCAAACTCTCCACCATGGCCAAGACCTAAGATCTCTCCAAGGATGTCAGGGACAATATTGTAGACCTACACAAGGCTGGAATGGGCTACAAGACCATCGCCAAGCAGCTTGGTGAGAAGGTGACAACAGTTGGTGCGATTATTCGCAAATGGAAGAAACACAAAATAACTGTAATTTTCCCTCAGCCTGGGGCTCCATGCAAGATCTCACCTCGTGGAGTTGCAATGATCATGAGAACGGTGAGGAATCAACCCAGAACTATACAGGAGGATCTTGTCAATGATCTCAAGGCAGCTGGGACCATAGTAACCAAGAAAACAATTGGTAACACACTACGCTGTGAAGTACTGAAATCCTTCAGCGCCCACAAGGTCCCCCTGCTCAAGAAAGCACATATACAGGGCCGTCTGAAGTTTGCCAATGAACATCTGAATGATTCAGAGGAGAACAGGGTGAAAGTGTTGTGGTCAGATGAGACCAAAATCTAGCTCTATGGCATCAACTCAACTCGCCGTGTTTGGAGGTGGAGGAATGCTGCCTATGACCCCAAGAACACCATCCCCACCATCAAACATGGAGGTGGAAACATTATGCTTTGGGGGTGTTTTTCTGCTAAGGGGACAGGACAACTTCACCACATCAAAGGGACGATGGACGGGGCCATGTACCGTCAAATCTTGGGTGAGAACCTCCTTCCCTCAGCCAGGGCATTGAAAATGGGTCGTGGATGGGTATTACAGCATGACAATGACCCAAAACACATGGCCAAGGCAACAAAGGAGTGGCTCAAGAAGAAGCACATTAAGGTCCTGGAGTGGCCTAGCCAGTCTCCAGACCTTAATCCCATAGAAATTCTGTGGAGGGAGCTGAAGGTTCGAGTTGCCAAACGTCAGCCTCAAAACCTTAATGACTTGGAGAAGATCTGCAAAGAGGAGTGGAACAAAATCCCTCCTGAGATGTGTGCAAACATGGTGGCCAACTACAAGAGACGTCTGACCTCTGTGATTGCTAACAAGGGTTTTTCCACCAAGTACTAAGTCAAGTTTTGCAGAGGGTTCAAATACTTATTTCCCTCATTAAAATGCAAATCAATTTATAACATTTTTGACATGCGTTTTTCTGGATTTTTGTTGTTGTTATTCTGTCTCTCACTGTTCAAATAAACCTACCATTAAAATTATAGACTGATCATGTCTTTGTCAGTGGGCAAACGTACAAAATCAGCAGGGGATCAAATACTTTTTTCCCTCACTGTACTAAGGAAGGCCTTTAGTCCAAACAATGATAAATTCTGTTGACCTCTCTCTCTCTTAGGGTAAAGCAGGCAAAGCTGGAGTCAAAGGAGCCAGGGGCATCCAAGGGGACACAGGAGTGGATGGTCAGAAGGGGGCAGAGGGTGAAAGAGGTATGTACTCCAATTGACTTAGTTCAACCAAACTTGATTACTGGTAAACAAAACCTTGATCACTAAGGCTCATTTCAAGTGAAAATGCTCCTTTGTAGTGGCATAGCTTCAGAGTTCACCCACAAACTCTCTGTTTTACTCCACAGGTACAAAAGGTCTGAAAGGAAAGAGGGGTGTGCCTGGTAAAGGTCTGCCAGGACACGATGAGCATCAAGGTAGGACACTGTTTACACTGGTGTGAAACTCTCAGGTCTACCTCAACATTGCTTGTCTTAGAATTGTTGGAAAGTATCTGTAACTCACTTCCAGATTCACTTGAAAAAGGATTGTGTGGTTTTTATTCAACATTTATGTTAGCATGAAGTTATTTTTCAAGAGAACTGTTAAGACGCCATCTCCAATTGTTAAATTGTTTTCCCCACAGGGCTGCCAGGCCACCCAGCAGAGCCAAAGAAAGGTATGGCAGGTCCCAGAGGGCCCACTGGTTTCACAGGCGCTTTGTGCCAGCCTGGCATGGCGGGCAACGCAGGAGTGCCCGGCTTCTGTGAGGCACGGAACTGCAGCATTCACGCGCCTGTGATGCGTAAGGAGCAGGGCCTAGTGAAGGGACCCCGCGATCTAAGCCCCAAGATCTAACCCCAAGAAGGAGCTTCAGAAAGGGGTGAAGGAATGTGAAAGAGCAGTTAGAAAGATATGGCATATACAGTTGAAGTCGGAAGTTTACACACACCTTAGCCAAATACATTTAAACTCAGTTTTTCACAATTCCTGACATTTAATCCTAGTAAAAATTCCCTGTCTTAGGTCAGTTAGGATCACCACTTTATTTTAAGAATGTGAAATGTCAGAATAATAGTAGAGAGAATTGTTTATTTCAGCTTTTATTTCTTTCATCACATTCCCAGTGGGTCAGAAGATTACATACACTCAATTAGTATTTGGTAGCATTGCTTTTAAATTGTTTAACTTGGGTCAAACGTTTCAGGTAGCCTTCCACAAGCTTCCCACAGTAAATTGGGTGAATTTTGGCCCATTCCTCCTGACAGAGCTGGTGTCAGGTTTGTAGGGCTCCTTGCTCGCACACACTTTTTCAGTTCTGCCCACAAATGTTCTATAGGATTGAGGTCAGGGCTTTGTGATGGCCACTCCAATACCTTGACTTTGTTGTCTTTAAGCCATTTTGCCACAACTTTGGAAGTATGCTTGGGGTCATTGTCCATTTGGAAGACCCATTTGCGACCAAGCTTTAAATTCCTGACTGATGTCTTGAGATGTTGCTTCAATATATCCACATAATTTTCCTTCCTCATGATGCCATCTATTTTGTGAAGTGCACCAGTCCCTCCTGCAGCAAAGCACCCCCACAGCATGATGCTGCCACCCCCGTGCTTCACGGTTGGTATGGTGTTCTTCGGCTTGCAAGCATACCCAATTTTCCTCCAAACGTAACGATACTCATTATGGCCAAACAGTTCTATTTTTGTTTCATCAGACCAGAGGACATTTCTCCAAAAAGTAGGATCTTTGTCCCCATGTGCAGTTGCAAACCGTAGTCTGGCTTTTTTATGGTGATTTTGGAGCAGTGGCTTCTTCCTTGCTAAGCGGCCTTTCAGGTTATGTTGATATAGGACTCGTTTTACTGTGGATATAGATACTTTTGTACCTGTTTCCTCCAGCATCTTCACAAGGTCCTTTGCTGTTGTTCTGGGATTGATTTGCACCTTTCGCACCAAAGTACGTTCATCTCTAGGAGACAGAACGCATCTCCTTCCTGAGCGATATGACGGCTGCGTGGTCCCATGGTGTTTATACTTGCGTACTATTGTTTGTACAGATGAACATGGTACCTTCAGGCATTTGGAAATTGCTCCTAAGGATGAACCAGACTTGTGGAGGTCTACAAAAAAAATTCTGAGGTCTTGGCTGATTTCTTTTGATTTTCCCATGATGTCAAGCAAAAAGGCACTAAGTTTGAAGGTAGGCCTTGAAATACATTCACAGGTACACCTACAATTGACTCAAATTATGTCAATTAGCCTGTCAGAACCTTCTAAAGCCATGACATCATTTTCTGGAATTTTCCAAGCTGTTTAAAGGCACAGTCAACTTAGTGTATGTAAACTTCTGACCCACTAAGAAAGAGAGTTCCAAACCTCTCTGCCAATAACAGCTAATTTTCCCCTCTCCACTCAGACCATGTCCTAGAAAAAATATTTATTGAGAAATATATCTTTGCTAAGAAGCTATTTTTGTTTCTTTTCGACCCTTTTAATGGAAACAATCACAGTAAGGTACTTAATTGTTACCCAGAAATTATTTGATATTGAGATAAAAACAGCTGCATTGGACATTCAACAGAGGTGGTCAATGTGATGACCTTTCCTGAGACCTTAAAACATGTGTTAGCACCCCCAAGCTAAGCCATAAATTCAGAGGGCTAACAGAGTCTTGTGGTCATGTGAAAACCACCTAGGCTCAAATAGGCACACCCATGCCTACACCCCTTGGTGGTGGTGTACTGGTGTGGGGAATGTTTTCCTGGCACACTTTAGGTTCCTTGATTCCAATTGAGAAACGATTGAACACCATGCCCTGAAGAATTTAGGCTGTTCTGGAGGCAAAGATTCCTAATTCTGGGATTCCCCCCCAGGTGATGGCCAACCATTAATTTTACTTTCAGGTAGCAAAAACAACAATACCAAAGGTTAATATAGTGTAGACCTATCTTAATATTTAGCCTATATTGTAATGTTGTATTTCTATTTATTTTAACACCCTCTTCAACAGAAATAAATTCATAGGCCTACTACACTAACGTTACATTACAAGTGCATGCGTAAAATTAGCCGGAGTCAGGATATAAAGATGCCATGATATAGCCTACAACTAATAAACTGCGGAGTATTGAGTTAACATTCAGAAATAACACCCACTCCCAGTAACTGTAATTACGGTTTAGCTTAAGTTTAACACTAGATTCATTGAAAAAACATATCCATACACATCAGGAGAGTGAGCCAACGTATCGCCATAATATCGCCACTGACTCATCTAAATATGCAGATTTGCAGTAGGTCATGTGGAGAGAGAATGTGACGCACATCTTTCCATTGCGAAACGAAAGTGTTGTATGCAGTCGGGGAAATCCCCATAAACAGTTTAACTTCTCTTTCGGAAGTATATAAGCTGCTACCCTCCTGTTCTAAATCGTCATCTTCGTTGCGGTAAAATATGTTTTTTCAACTCGTCTGCATATTAGGTATGTTGTCATTTATTTTTAAGAATGAATTTGATATCAGTCTAACTGGGCACGCTCACCAGAAATAATGATTTACCTTGTGTTTGTCTATAGCGGCCTCCTTGCCAGGGGGGCTCACACAGGATAGGTCTACCGAAGAGGTGAAGTCAGTTTGTGGAGAGGACTCAATTCTGAAATGTAAAGCAATATGTAAGCCTGGGGTCCAGTACCGGGCAGTGAAGTGGTACAAGGTAAGCTTTCTATTATTCTGATAACACAAACTGTGTGTTTTGTACCGTCTGACCAAATTTTGTACAAGTGCTATCTATATATGCAAAAAAATATACAGCACCGGTCCCAGACCAGCTGTTTGGGGCATAGAGTAACCTCACACCCTCTTCTCCCAGCTCGGTGAGGAGCCCTCTAATAAGGAGTCTGGTCTATTGATGAAGAGGCTATCACCTAACAGCACCACGCAATGGTACGCTGGTCTGGAGCGTGAAGTGGAACTTTTGGCTGATGATTCTTTTGATATCGTCCTGCCCAATGTAACGGCTGTTGATAGTGGGAGGTATAAGTGTCTCCTGGCAGCACCTGTAGGAGAGCAGAACCAGGAGGGGCAGATTGTCCTCAGAGTGACAGGTGTGTGTTCTACTCTCATTGTGTGCTTGTTTTGGTATGTAGACCTACTGTATACTGTATGTGAGTGTTTTAAATTGGACCCAGAGTTCATCTATGATGCTAAATTCTTAAAAAATGTTTCCAGTGACGCTCAAGGATTTGTGGATAATTTTTTTGCAGGTTGCCTTGAGTCCACAGACCAATCAGAAGAAAGGGATACCATCCTAGTTCTTTCCATTGTGGGGCTTGTGGCAGCATTGCTGATATTCACCATCAGCTATGTGAGTTACAACACTGCCCGCTGTTCCTCTGATTGAATTTTTTTTAAACAAACATTTTATGGTGATGGTTTCCATGTATTCCATTTTCTTTTAAATGTTTTCATGTTATTTACTCAATAATGCTCATCTTTACCATAGGTCATCCTAAGGAATATGTTATTGCAAAGGAGCAAGAAGTATCCACAAGAACCACTTCTAGATGCACCCCTTGAGAAGAAAGATTTAATGTTGATCTACACTCTGGGGCCAAACTGGTCAGGACAGGCTTCCATAAAACATGTCTGTGTGTGAGAGCCTGTTCTGCTAGTTTGGGCTCATTGTATACTTGAATGTGAAGAGGAAACGCAGAGAAAGACTAGGGCACTTTTAAAGCTGAGCAAGGAGCCTAAGAGTCATGTCTACTTTCCAGGAGAAGAGTTCACCTCTAGAGCAGATGGAGGCAGACAACCCTCTGGCCGGTCCTGTAGAACTAAGATGTGTAGGCTTTTCAAAGAAATGAAACAGAAACAGTAGCCTACACCCTTTCACTCAGACAGCCAAACAGCAGTACAGCCAGGCTAGGGCAGCAGTTCTCCAGCAACGACTGCCTGTCTGCAGCATTCACACACCTGAGATGCTCAAGGAGCAGGGCCTGGTGAAGGGACCCCACGATCTAAGCCCCAAGATCTAACCTCAACAAGGAGCTTCAGGAAGGGGTGCAGGAATGGTCCACGATGAGGGGTCATTCTGGAGGGTCGCTCCATGGCAACGTTGGGGTTAATCCCATTTACATTTCAGTCAACCCAGGAATTGCAGTTGACATTGAACTGGAAAATCACCAATGTGTACAGCATTGATCTTTTAGAATTTCATGCCTAATTCAATTTGTGTATTGACTGGTATTGAAATAGAATTGATTCATTTTCCTCCAAGCAAACCGAAAGTGGGCTTTGGTGAAAAGTAATTGGCAGAAAATTAACTTGTATAAATCTCTATCAGTTAAAAAATATATATGATCAGCAATTCTGTGGATACATTGAAAATAAAGAAGACATGTAAATCATTTTGTAATGTACAGTATTGTATCTGATGTACATGTTCTATGTGTTCTTAGAGTCCTCACTTTTTTAGTCACCACGGTTGATGTTTCTCTGAGAACAGTTATGCACTTTGATCAAGTTCATTGTTACTCAGAATATTTCATGTTATTAAGAAAAAATAATTTCCCCTACCATTTTACAAATGCTTACAAACTGGATACATAACTATTTTTCTACATAGTATGCTGTTTGAAGTGTTAAATGGCTGGCAACATATCTCTACCTATTTCACAAGACACATTCTGTTATATTTTATATTAGTTATATACTGTACCTTTACATTAGTCATTTACGTCACCTGTCAATGTTGTAATGTGCCAATTTTGAGCAGGATGATCACAATTATATTTTTGGATAGCTGTTTTAATTGTTAAATACATAAATACCTCTTTACTAATCTTTTGAGTGACAAACAATTGTGTGAGGTCTCTGTCATTGTCAAACACATTACAAGGTAACATCACACAGCATAAAATGGAAGCCAGGTTAAATGGGATCTAAACAATATTGAAAATTAAAATCCTTTACAAACATGAAATTCCATGTAGTTTAAAAACATTTAATACTATAGAATAAGTAAAAAAAATGTTTTATTGCATCACAATATCACAGGACAGATTTGACATGAGTGCATGAATATGGGTCATATACAATACAGTGTCCTTTTTCATGCCAACTGTCTGATCATAGCACTCAACACATTATTACACAATAATAATAATAAGCTTGATAATAAGCTTTATATCAATATATTAATTTAGTCACTTGTCTCTAAGCTTATTGTCTGATAGGGATAAGTGTAGCTTGTAACTTCAACAAGAAGTGTATTTCCGTACCAATAATAAATTGCAGAGTAGATAGTGGACAGTAAAAAAATATGTTTTAAAATTTGTATCCTTGTTAATTTTGACACTGGTCCCACAGGTTAAGTGAGTACCTTCCTCATGGCACAATAACATTAGGATTTAAGACCAGTAACTCTCCAATTGCCAGTTCATTTAATAACTTCCAAGGTGAACTGATGAACCTTGAGCGCTTTCTGTTAATGCTCGGCATCTCTAACATCTACTGTAGCTAACTGTCATAACAATTACTGTACTGAAATGTTTGCAAAAATACAGTCCCTTTCTCATTTTACACTCATACATCTGTCATATTCACATGAACTGAGCAATAAATAGATTTGAAATACTTGTCACTACATTAATACTTCAACACTAGCTACAGTGGGGAAAAAAAGTATTTAGTCAGCCACCAATTGTGCATGTTCTCCCACTTAAAAAGATGAGAGAGGCCTGTAATTTTCATCATAGGTACACGTCAACTATGACAGACAAAATGAGGAAAAAAAATCCAGAAAATCACATTGTAGGATTTTTAATGAATTTATTTGCAAATTATGGTGGAAAATAAGTATTTGGTCAATAACAAAAGTTTCTCAATACTTTGTTATATACCCTTTGTTGGCAATGACACAGGTCAAACGTTTTCTGTAAGTCTTCACAAGGTTTTCACACACTGTTGCTGGTATTTTGGCCCATTCCTCCATGCAGATCTCCTCTAGAGCAGTGATGTTTTGGGGCTGTCGCTGGGCAACACAGACTTTCAACTCCCTCCAAAAATGTTCTATGGGGTTGAGATCTGGAGACTGGCTAGGCCACTCCAGGACCTTGAAATAAATGCTTCTTACGAAGCCACTCCTTCGTTGCCCGGGCGGTGTGTTTGGGATCATTGTCATGCTGAAAGACCCAGCCACGTTTCATCTTCACTGCCCTTGCTGATGGAAGGAGGTTTTCACTCAAAATCTCACGATACATGGCCCCATTCATTCTTTCTTTTACACGGATCAGTTGTCCTGGTCCCTTTGCAGAAAAACAGCCCCAAAGCATGATGTTTCCACCCCCATGCTTCACAGTAGGTATGGTGTTCTTTGGATGCAACTCAGCATTCTTTGTCCTCCAAACACGACGAGTTGAGTTTTTACCAAAAAGTTCTATTTTGGTTTCATCTGACCATATGACATTCTCCCAATCCTCTTCTGGATCATCCAAATGCACTCTAGCAAACTTCAGATGGGCCTGGACATGTACTGGCTTAAGCAGGGGGACACGTCTGGCACTGCAGTATTTGAGTCCCTGGCGGCATAGTGTGTTACTGATGGTAGGCTTTGTTACTTTGGTCCCAGCTCTCTGCAGGTCATTCACTAGGTCCCCCCGTGTGGTTCTGGGATTTTTGCTCACCGTTCTTGTGATAATTTTGACCCCACGGGGTGAGATCTTGCGTGGAGCCCCAGATCGAGGGAGATTATCAGTGGTCTTGTATGTCTTCCATTTCCTAATAATTGCTCCCACAGTTGATTTCTTCAAACCAAGCTGCTTACCTATTGCAGATTCAGTCTTCCCAGCCTGGTGCAGGTCTACAATTTTGTTTCTGGTGTCCTTTGACAGCTCTTTGGTCTTGGCCATAGTGGAGTTTGGAGTGTGACTGTTTGAGGTTGTGGACAGGTGTCTTTTATACTGATAACAAGTTCAAACAGGTGCCATTAATACAGGTAACGAGTGGAGGACAGAGGAGCCTCTTAAAGAAGAAGTTACAGGTCTGTGAGAGCCAGAAATCTTGCTTGTTTGTAGGTGACCAAATACTTATTTTCCACCATAATTTTCAAATAAATTCATTACAAATCCTACAATGTGATTTTCTGGATTTTCTTTTCTCAATTTGTCTGTCATAGTTGACGTGTACCTATGATGGAAATTACAGGCCTCTCTCATCTTTTTAAGTGGGAGAACTTGCACAATTGGTGGCTGACTAAATACTTTTTTCCCCCACTGTATATGTCCCAGCATTGTGATGCAGTGCAGTTTCAAATGTTAGCAGCGAGAACACATTCTCACAAAAAAATCTCTGGCTTTTCTCCTTCCTTTCTTAGGTGAAAAGACTTAACGTCACCAGCACCACTGGTGAGCAACTTTAGGGGGTTATTCAAGTATTGGAAGAAAAAGAGAAGCCAGGAAACTGCATAACAGTGCTTCACAGAACTACATCATTTTCATCAGTCTGCAATTAAACTAAAAACCTACATGGTCTAAAAGATGATTTTCTTTCCCTTTTGAGAGGTAGAGCAGCAGTCCCTAAAGGGATTACCTGTCAATAATCCTACTGGCTCCATTTTAAGATAATGGCTCATTCAGTGTTCTTCATTGGCAGGATAGATGTAAAACATGTTGTGTGCTACTCCGTTTTTTCTAGCTTTCAAATAGGCCCACTCTTCTCCTCTACCCTGCAACTCTTCCCCAGGTCCTTAATGTACCTTTGTTTTCTGTCAATATAGCTGGTAAAATAATGGTTAATAAACAACTCTAAGGGGGTTGTGATTTTTTTCCCCAAGTTCTGTTTTATAATTTCCTACATTATGTTTTCTCCGGGGGTTTTTCTGGTTTTAGATTTGATTTGCTTTTTCACTCTCAACATTACAATTATTCATAGAGAAACAATTAAATGTCCATGTCAATGATAATGTCCATGTCAATGATAAGTCCATGTCAATGATAAAGTCCATGTCAATGATAAATTACATCAGAATACTTTTTTCTTTTTTTTTGTCTGGAAGAAAACAAACTTTTTGTTGTTGAGTGTAATTCCCCTTTAATTGCACATCTGCCCTTTAATTGCGCGTATAGCAAGTGATGAATGTGCCATCCAATGTGCTGGTATAGCAATGGTTCAGTGCTGCTGCTTCTCATTTCATGGTAAAGTTTGCAAATAACAAATAATACATACAAATTATATATTTACTCATGATATAGGCTAGTCTGCCAGGTAAGCCTACTTTGCAGTTAATATTTAATTGAGAAGGTCTTGGGGAAAGTATTTCTGTATCACATCCACTGGCTACACAGCGTGATAGACAAACTCGCACACCACATAGACAGACAGGGGCTAAATTAGTGGAAATTAATAGGCAAATATTGTGTTAGGTTTGGCTTATTAAGCCATTAGTGGCTAACCAGGGGTGGGGTAATGTCAATGTTGCGTTGAATAGATAGTAGCTGGGAGTTTGCGATGTCTGATACTTGTGAGATTTGTTCATGACAGTTTGCCATAGAACACGTGAAATTTGCATGTACTTTCAGAATTGTTTGGCGAGCTACTCATAGGTGGGCTGAGAGCTACTGGTAGCTCGCGCTCGACCTATTGGAGACCCCTGGTGTAAAGAATAAAATAAAACTCTTTACTTAACCATAATGAGCATTTTGAACGTTTGTAGAGGCAGTGCTGGCAGTTGTCGGAGGCAAAGCTTGGTTGCTGACACTTATCCCTATAAAGGATAAAATAAATAATATGAGCAATATGATAAAATAATTGCTATGAAGACTTATGGTAAACAGCACTGAAATCAAATGAAACCTTATCGGAGAAGTGGAGCCAAACTTCTTTCACTGAACACCTGGCGTTATTGCTTAAATATGCAGAGGATTCTAAACTGTGGGAGGGTCTCCTCCTACAATTTTGGGCCAATTTTCTTCATTTTAAGATCAAAATAAGTGTGTCGTCCTCCCACATGGTATTGTCCACTTTATATTCTGCTGTGTTTTGTATTTTTTGGTCATCCCGGTTTTTGTGTTTGGAACAGTGTTGTACTACTTGAGTCTGGTCTGGAGACCACATAAAGATGTAGGATCTTAATTTGAGCCAGTTTGCTACAGCAGGAAAATAACCCTGCAGCAACAGGAACTTTGAATTATTATGTGGATTATAATTAATGGACATTTTTTTGTAGGGGTTGATACATTTTTCGTTAGGGTAAATGAAGTCTGGCATTTTAAAGTAGAAATTACAAACTTTAGAATCCTTTTTAAACCTTTCATACACTACAAGTTTTCATTTCCTGCTGTGCAGGCAAATTCTCAGTAAAAAAAAAAGTGATCAAATTAAGATCCTACATCTGTATTGAGTGTCGGATAATTTTTACTCGGTCTTGATTCTGTCTCCTCGTAATTTCTTGCCGAGACCAGCTGAGTGAAAAACTCAATTATCAGCTCCCATTCAGTCAGCCCATAAAACCGCTTCGCCAGGCCAAATATCCACAATCCTTTCATGACACAATATCTTATCGCCTATTGAAACCTGGGCTTCCTACTTTACTCGTAACATAACTGTCCTTTACTTTCATAGAAAAATATCCTCATTTTATCGCGCTCATCAGAATTTCCTTGATTCGATGGTAGGGAAGAGTAGGGGAAATTGTTTGAAAGTTGCACGCTCACTATTAATAAGGGAAGTTGTAACATATTTGGTCTTTTCATCTATTATAGACCTGTTTGGGTTCTTGATACATTTGTAGAGTGACTCTATTTACCCTCAACATTATTATTTTCACCATTCTGAATGTCTAAACTCCATTCTGGGTGTCAAACTCATTCCATGGAGGGCCTAGTGTCTACGGGTTCTTGTTATTTCATCAACCAAGTACAAGGGAGGAGCGAAAACCCGCAGACTCTCGGCCCTTTGTGGAATGAGTTTGACACGTGGTCAAAATAAATGTTCTTCTGAAATATGAACACAGAAATACTGGACATGTTGAACTCTTATTATGGTGTTGATTTAACACAATTCAAGTCTTGAATTGGACTCGCATTTTTTAGCGTTTACAATCTATGAAAGGCTCGTGCTTAAAATGACCCGCTTCCCTGTTTTCCCCAACTCTTAAACTAAGCCTAAAATCCATTCAAATGATGCGGTCAAATAAAGCAAGGTACATAATAATTATGCATCACAAAAACATATTTATATTGTAGGCTACTTTTTTGTTTTTTACAGATATGGATATGGCGGTGACCTGGGCGTCAAAGGTGGCTCTGGACCAAAAGGAGTGCCAGGTGCCCCTGTGCAAATCAGGAGCCAACCCCAGTCTGTCTGGAGGAAGTGTCTTCCCGTTATTTTACATTGACACATATCTAGCATGAACTTTTACTGACTGATTGATTACTTGCTTGGTTGATTGATTGCCTGCTTTTTTTTCCTCAGGGCCCTGGGCTGACAGATGAGCAGGTATTGCAGCTGTGTAAAGGAGTGGTGACAGCCCAGATATCCCAGTATGCAGCTTCCATCCAGGCCAAGTGTTCCCAAGGCTGCCCCATCAACAACCGCACACTCATTGGGCCGCCCGGAACCAGGGGACCAACTGGAGAATCAGGCAAACCTGTGAGTCACATAGCCCCGAAACCAACCCCTATCTACTAAGGAAGGCCTTTAGTCGAAACAATGATACATTCTGTTAACCTCTCTCTCTCTTAGGTTAAAGCAGGCAAAGCTGGAGTCAAAGGAGCCAGGGGCATCCAAGGGGACACAGGAGCGGATGGTCAGAAGGGGGCAGAGGGTGAAAGAGGTATGTACTCCAATTGACTTAGTTCAACCAAACTTCATTACTGGTAAACCAAACCTTGATCACTAAGGCTCATTTCAAGTGAAAATGAGTGGAGCTCCTTTGTAGTGGCATAGCTTCAGAGTTCACCCACAAGCTCTCTGTTTTACTCCACAGGTACAAAAGGTCCGAAAAGAAAGGGGGGTGAGCCTGGTAAAGGTCTGCCAGGACACGATGGGCATCAAGGCCTCAGAGGTAGGACACTGTTTACACTGGTGTGAAACTCTCAGGTCTACCTCAACATTGCTTGTCTTAGAATTGTTGGAAAGTATATGTAACTCACTTCCAGATTCACTTGAAAAGGGATTGTGTGGTTTTTATTCAACATTTATGTTAGCAGGAAGTCTTATTTTTCAAGAGAACTGTTAAGCCTAATTGCTTAATTTTTTTCCCTTCAGGTCTGCCAGGCCACCCAGCAGAGCCAAAGAAAGGTATGGCAAGTCCCAGAGGGCCCCGGGGTTTCACAGGCGCTTTGGGCCAGCCTGGCATGGCGGGCAACGCAGGAGTGCCCGGCTTCTGTGAGGCACGGGACTGCAGCATTCACGCGCCTGTGATGCGTAAGGAGCAGGGCCTAGTGAAGGGACCCCGCGATCTAAGCCCCAAGATCTAACCCCAAGAAGGAGCTTCAGAAAGGGGTGAAGGAATGGTCCACGATGAGGGGTCATATTGGACAGTCGCACCATTGCAACGTTGGGGTTAATTCCACTCACATCTTAGCCAAACCAGGAATTGAAGTTGACATTGAGTTTTGAACTGGGAAATGACCAATGTGTACAGCATTGATCTTTTGCACAGAGAGATGAACCCAACCTTGACTGCATTCCATCTGAGCCAAGCAAGGCTCCCAATGAACTCTAATGTTTAGGCATAATTGATAACTTTTTTGCTAGGCCAAAACAATACATTATTCATTTTTTTATGCAGAAACAAAAAAGAAAATTGTCTTCCGCCAAGGGGCTTGAAAAACTGGCTAAAAGAAATGGGCAGAAATTGAAACTTGCAGGAGTCTCTGGCTACCAGTCAGGTTTTGTTTTTGATATGATCAACAATGCTGTGGATCCATTGAAAATAAAGTTATGTAAATAATGTTGTAAAGTATCACAAGTACAGTGGGGAAAAAAATTATTTAGTCAGCCACCAATTGTGCAAGTTCTCCCACTTAAAAAGATGAGAGAGGCCTGTAATTTTCATCATAGGTACACGTCAACTATGACAGACAAATTGAGAAAAGAAAATCCAGAAAATCACATTGTAGGATTTGTAATGAATTTATTTGAAAATTATGGTGGAAAATAAGTATTTGGTCACCTACAAACAAGCAAGATTTCTGGCTCTCACAGACCTGTAACTTCTTCTTTAAGAGGCTCCTCTGTCCTCCACTCGTTACCTGTATTAATGGCACCTGTTTGAACTTGTTATCAGTATAAAAGACACCTGTCCACAACCTCAAACAGTCACACTCCAAACTCCACTATGGCCAAGACCAAAGAGCTGTCAAAGGACACCAGAAACAAAATTGTAGACCTGCACCAGGCTGGGAAGACTGAATCTGCAATAGGTAAGCAGCTTGGTTTGAAGAAATCAACTGTGGGAGCAATTATTAGGAAATGGAAGACATACAAGACCACTGATAATCTCCCTCGATCTGGGGCTCCACGCAAGATCTCACCCCGTGGGGTCAAAATTATCACAAGAACGGTGAGCAAAAATCCCAGAACCACACGGGGGGACCTAGTGAATGACCTGCAGAGAGCTGGGACCAAAGTAACAAAGCCTACCATCAGTAACACACTACGCCGCCAGGGACTCAAATCCTGCAGTGCAAGACGTGTCCCCCTGCTTAAGCCAGTACATGTCCAGGCCCGTCTGAAGTTTGCTAGAGTGCATTTGGATGATCCAGAAGAGGATTGGGAGAATGTCATATGGTCAGATGAAACCAAAATATAACTTTTTTGGTAAATACTCAACTCGTCGTGTTTGGAGGACAAAGAATGCTGAGTTGCATCCAAAGAACACCATACCTACTGTGAAGCATGGGGGTGGAAACATCATGCTTTGGGGCTGTTTTTCTGCAAAGGGACCAGGACGACTGATCCGTGTAAAGGAAAAAATGAATGGGGCCATGTATCGTGAGATTTTGAGTGAAAACCTCCTTCCATCAGCAAGGGCATTGAAGATGAAACGTGGCTGGGTCTTTCAGCATGACAATGATCCCAAACACACCGCCCGGGCAATGAAGGAGTGGCTTCGTAAGAAGCATTTCAAGGGCCTGGAGTGGCCTAGCCAGTCTCCAGATCTCAACCCCATATAAAATCTTTGGAGGGAGTTGAAAGTCCGTGTTGCCCAGCGACAGCCCCAAAACATCACTGCTCTAGAGGAGATCTGCATGGAGGAATGGGCCAAAATACCAGCAACAGTGTGTGAAAACCTTGTGAAGACTTACAGAAAATGTTTGACCTGTGTCATTGCCAACAAAGGGTATACAACAAAGTATTGAGAAACTTTTGTTATTGACCAAATACTTATTTTCCACCATAATTTGCAAATAAATTCATTAAAAATCCTACAATGTGATTTTCTGGATTTTCTTTCCTCATTTTGTCTGTCATAGTTGACGTGTACCTATGATGAAAATTACAGGCCTCTCTCATCTTTTTAAGTGGGAGAACTTGCACAATTGGTGGCTGACTAAATACTTTTTTCCCCCACTGTACATGTACTGTGTGTTCTGAAATATCACTGTTTTAGATAAATGCTGTCTTACCTTTTCTTAAGATGAGTCCTCACTTTTTTAGTCGCCACAGTTTGAGTGTCTTTCTGAGAATGTGTGGTCTCTTTCAGTCATCTGATGTTATTCAGGTTAATCTAAATAACTTTTATTTTTTTTACCATTTACAGATGTTCACAGACAAGATAATATTGATCAATATAAAAAAAATGTAAACACACTATTTCATATTAAAAAGAATACATTGAAATTTGTTATACAGTACATTGTATTTGGAATTTATAGTTCAATAATCTGGCAATGATTTGTAGGACAGCACAAAATGTCTGTCGATTAAATGAATTAACTATATTCATTGGATGGCGGTTTGGATTTTTAAATAAATGTATGTACATCATTAATTTTGCATAAATAATAACTTTCACATGAACAGGATGTTCAACTCCTATCACCTCTTAGCTGATATTTTCGTCATTGTCAATCTTTGAGAATCATCCCAACACGTTACAAGGCGGAAACATAGCCCTGTAAACTCAAGTATATCACACACGTGTTCTTAACATTTGTACTTTTGTGTACATGTGTTGGCAATCAGAACCCTGATAGAAAAGCGTCACAATGTTTGGAGACAAATTTTTTTAATGCATCACCACATCATAGGACAGATTAGAAAATGAGCAGAGCATGAACATGGGTGATTGTCTCTCATCAAAAGCATGCAAAACATTATGGCATATAACTATGCTACGAAAGTACACATACATAACATCAACGGACAAGAAAATAAACCATATTGAAACATTGTTTAATGCTGCTCGTGTTCAAAATGGCTCATCTTAATGTGTGTAAAGTTATGGTTGTCAGTTCATATAAGTGTTTGGTTGTATGACCTGGAGGGAGGTAAGAAGTATTATCCATGTCATGTTTAAACACTATTGTACAGTACATCCCTCTGAAATCTACCCGGTGAAATCAATCCACTTCATTGAGTCACTTGTCTCTAAGCTTATTGTCTGATCTAGGGGTGAGTAGGTGTAGCTATATTTGTACCAATACAAAATGGTCCAAGTCAAGGTGGATATTTTGTTTTTTAAAGGACACTACTTTAATATATATATTCTTAAAATCTTGCAAAATAAATTCCTTAATTTGATGGGTCATAAAAACACATACGATTTCACATTGGTCCCAAGGCATAGTGAAGTACTTCCATTTTGTGCCAACAAATTGTCCATCGGAGAGATGATTGGCTTGTAACGGACAAGTTCACAGCTTGTTTTTCTAGCTAATTGTCCATTCATACTTGGGTCATTTGTGCCTTTTAGAGTTAATAGGTAATAAATAGCTTAATAAATATATTTCATAAATAACACATGTCATATACATGGCACAGCATGAGGCAGTGCAGTTTAAAGGTGGTCAGCAGCAGAAAACACATTTCCTGTTGAATTCCGTGTTCAGTCAAAAAACACTATGGCTTTCTTTCTTCCTCTCTTAGGTGAAACTACATAATGTAAACATCACCCATCCTACAGGTAAACTTGGTTTAGTTAGCAGAGTATTGAGACAAAAAAGGTAGAAAAGTGCATAGAAGACAGCAATGAGACTAAAACATGAATTAGAGTCTGGACACTAGTGGCGGAAGGCACATTCTTCTTTTAAAAAGCAATAAAGGTCCTGAGTAGATAGATGTCTATAATACTATTGGCTCAACTCTGATGTTAGTTTGTGTAGTGTGTCCCACCCACTACAAATGGCCAACTTTTCTTCATTGGCAGGATAAAGGATGTCATCTGGGTTCTTTGTGGACCAACAGTGTAGGACCAACAACGTGAGAGCCCCCTCAGACCACATCTACAGTACGAATGGTATGATCATACAGACTGAAAGCATCAGGAATGCCCCAAGTCCTAAAATATAAACAGAAGAAGACAGTTGTTAAATAACAAAAACTCTCATTGTAGTTAAAACATCAGGCATTTTCCTGTAGCATCACAACTTGTTTTGATAGTAATTGAGCTCTGATAATATGCAGTTATCTAGATTATAATACACTAAGGACTCTAAACTGCAGGAGGGTGTCCTCCTACAATTTTGGGCCAATTATCTTCACTATAAACTCAAAAGAAGTGCGTTGTCCTCCCACATGATATTGTCCACTTTATAATCCGCTGTGTTTTGTATTTTTGTTTATTATCCCGGTTTTTGTGTTTGGAACTACTTGAGTCCGGTCTCGAGGCCAGTTTGCTTCAGCAGTAAAATAATCCTGCAGCAACAGGAAATGTAAATTATTATGTGGATTATAATGAATGGACATTTTCTGTAGGTGTTGATACATTTTTCGTTAGGGTAAATGAAGTCTGGCATTTTAAAGTGGAAATTACAAACTTTAGAAGCCTTTTTAAAACTTTCATACATTACAAGTTTGCATTTCCTGCTGTGCAGGCAAATTCTCAGCAAAAAAAGTGATCAAACTAAGATCCTACATCTGTATTGAGTGTCTTGGTGTCGGATAATTTTTTACTCGGTCTTGATTCTGTCTCCTCGTAATTTCTTGCCGCACATAATAATGATGCGTTACAAAAACATATTTATATTGTAGGCTACTTTTTAGTTTTTTACAGATATGGATAACATTGTTTAGGCCTATCAAAACATGCGCCAGCGACACAAGCAGCAGCGAACGGGCATCTCGCTGACTTTAGTAACGGTCCAAAAAGCAAGTGCCAACGAAAACAGTAGCCTACAAAAAGTTGTTTTAAAAGCTCCGGCATTGAGAAGGTTGGTAGGCCAGGCTATTTGCTTTGCTTGAGGGTGGAATTTCATTGAATCTAAATATTAATTTCCAATGATTTCCTGCCCATAAGGTTGGGGTGACGCTAGTAATGTACTATATTTTGATAACAGTGCCACTTGTTTGTGCAATCAAAATGTAATCCATTATATAAAAAGCATACTTTACCATCATGAGAAAATGGATTGTTTCCTGTGTTAGCAGTTGTCCTAGAGACAGCTGGTCTGCTTATCACTAATGGAGTAAAATGAGTGACATGAGCAATATGATGATGACAACAATGCTTTATATGAATATCAATGGTATTTTATGTTATACACCAATAGCATCAGGAGCAACCATACCTGAGAAGTGCAGCTTGGTCTCTTCATATACCCCATTCTGTGAAAGAGAAAGAAAGGGGTCAATATTTATACATTTTTACTAGGTTGGCACTTGGCAGGCAGTAACAGAGGAGAGGAAGGTGAATTGTATGAGTTGACCTACCTTGGTGGTGCAACCAATAGTTAATGTGACATCGGGACATTCACTGAGGATGACTTTGCCAGAGAATACCTCCTTGCATGAAAAACTGCATTCACCTTTGCCATTTTCGTAGTAGGCAATGGGCTGCAGTAAGAAAATAATTTTTTACATGTCATGTCTCAATTGACATGGCTCCTGCCCCTCTGCATACCGTTGATGATACCATCAATGGTGATATGTAAAAAAAATAGTACTAATAAAAATTTCTGACTTCACATTGTATCTACTTGTCATGACCACATATATAATAGATTACCTTTTCGCCAGTGGTCCAGCTCTGATCACATTGGGGATTCACTGCTCCAAATGGTGCTTCAAGCGTGTTTGTACCCTCTTCACATGTGTAGGAAATTTGCTTCTCTACTACAGGGGCAGCGGCCACTGAGACTGAAAAGTGAATAAAGAAAAGGACATGAGTGGGATTGGGAATCCACCTAACACCAAGAAAGGATGATGTCAACCTAAATCCACTGTATAATGCAGCATACTAGGCAGAGTGTCAGCTTAACGGAGGTGGTCACTATAGTGTATTTGTATTTATTCCGGATCCCCATTAGCGGCTGCCAAGGCAACAGCTACTCTTCATGTGGTCCAATCACAATTACATACAATAAAACAATACATAACACAACACATTAATACACACTACTCTACCATAACATATCTACAATACAAAATCAATATTACAGCAAAAATTAAAATGTATGTGTGTGTAGAGTGCGTGTTAGCATGTGTTTGCCTGTGTGTGTGTGTGTGTCTCTTCACAGTCCGCGCTGTTCCATAAAGTGTAGTTGTATCTGTTTTTTAAATCAGATTCTACTGCTTGACTGAGTTACATGATGTGGAATAGAGTTCCATGTAGTTCCATGGCTCTCTGTGTACATCTAAGGGCCAGCCGTGCTAGTCTATTCTGGGCCAATTGTCAAGAAAGTGGAGCACTTGTGTTAGCTCCCCCAAGCTAAGCCATAAGTTCAGAGGGCTAACAGAGTCTTGTGAAAACAACCTAGGCTCAAATCCAGTTGATTACATCAGCACATAGGCCTATCCTTATTGAAATGACAGGTGGTCCTTGTAAACAACAGGGTGTGATTACTTTTCTGAAAGAATGCATCACATGGATAAAAGCTGACATATAGTTGATCCATTGTGCTTGTTTTGCTTAAACTGATATCAGTGCCTATATAGCTATTTTTTTCAAAATTGGGACACTCCATGATGACACCCACCCACTGGGCAAAAACAGGTTGAATTGAAGTTGTTTCCACATAAAAATATGAAATAAAGTGATGACGTTGAATCAACGAAAAAAAGTCACCGAACTTTTAACCTAATTTCAATGACATGGTGACATTTTTTGTTGATTTCAAGTTGAATTCACGTTAGTTGACAACTCAACCAAATGTAAATCAAAACTAGACGTTGAACAATGTGGGCACATTGCAATGCTTGACAAGACACTTGACATACCTGACATGACTGTTGACATGACTGTTGACATCTTGTTATTGGAAAAATTTAAATACAGAATAAGAATGAGAGTATTCTACATTATAAACGCGCACAGCACATTTAAGCCTGGGACATCAATGATTCAAAGTTGCCCTTAGTGGGAGTGACAATATAATTCTATGGGAGTGACCTTACTGAGTAAAGTAGTTGTCGTCATTTAATTTTAGCGAATCACAAACTGAAGGTTTGTCGGCACTGATGGTTTGATTAGATAGCAGGTTAGGAGAACTAACGTGGCAGGTTAAGATATTTAACGTAGCAGGTTAGGAGAATGAGGTTAAGGTTAGGAAAATAGTTGGGGCTAGGCATAGCTAAAATGCCTACAGTTGTCAACAACTGGTACTGGTAGCAACAACTGACAAACCATCAGTATCATTACACCGGGCAGGAACTTGTGGTGCGCACAATACATGTACGGGGAGGGTTAGGTGTTGTGGGAGATGATTGGTTGGTTGATTAAGCGTCGGATTCTTATGCGTCGGGAGTTTCTCGCAGTCTTTCTGTATTGGCTAATAAAGGCCAAGTTTGACATGTTGGTCCACCAGACTCTTCGCGTATTTGGGCGGAAGTGTCTGGGAATGAGATTAGCTACATTACCATGCAAACTGCATATCCTAAATTAGGTATGACTGGGCTGCTGTTGATATCCCCATTCAGCATGTGTGAACTATTTTTATGATGTATTTTTTAATGACATTTCCTACCGACACACGTGAGATGTAACCTAATCTGACACAGCCCAATTACTCGAAAGACCACACAGTCACACACTAACAAAAGAGGGTTCCTCAAGGGTTCTTTGGACTGGGTGATGGTTCTGTGTGGAAACATAATGACTCAAATAACCCTTTGAGCCCTTCAATGGTTCTTAGCAGTTCACGAAAAGTGTTTTTGCTCTTTTAGTGATAACAGAGATCTGTATATAATGACGAGATGCTCATGTCTCTGCCCTAACAATGGGAGTCGTTGTCCCAAAGGTGGGAAGGCAGGCGACTAGTTTAGGTCCGAAATAAGACCATAGAAACACATTGGGCTTATTTTTGATAGATTTTGGCGAGTGAAACCTCTCGCTTCACCTCTTCCTCTCAGGTGATAATTAAAACTAGGGGCGGCAGCTCATTCAAATATTTTGGTGTGTGGTTTGCTCAGATCGCTTTTTGTGCAACCGTGAGTGAAAGTGTCATTCCAGTTCATCTAATCTGTTGTGTTATGCTGTTAGGTGTTAAATATGACTAGTGAAGGTGTCTTGTGACAGACTCATATCTGGCCTTGCATCACTTGAGAACTGTGGTCTAAATCAGTGGTCCTCAAACCTCTCCTCAGGGTCCCTCAGCTGTTCTAGAGTTTGCACACCTGATATAAACCAATTAACACAACAATAAAACCTATGGAAATGTAACAATATAAAATGGCTAACCAGAAATTAAACCTGTATTGTTCTTCAAAAGGTTATATCTAGATTGAGAAAGGTTCTATAAAAAGGTCCACAAAGGTTCTACAAAGAACCATTAAAAAGAATTATATACAGCACCAAAAAGGGTTGTAATGATAGTGGAACCCCTTTTGGGGCTACTGTCACAGTTGTGACTATTAGCATATTTAATCTAACAAGTGATTTCATTGGCTAATTGACTTGTCATGTGATTATAGCTTAATGTATTTAAACCCCCCCCATATGGTCTTAAGACATCTTTAAAATTACTTTTTGTTGTTTATTTTGTGTAACAAGCGCTTTGACATTATCTGTAATGAAAATCACTATAAAAGTTTAATAAATTATGTATTATTAAATATAAGAACCCCCTATTTGAGTTTTTTAAATTGTTCTTTATAGGACCTTCCAAAAAGGGTTCTATATAGCACCAAAAAGGAATCCGCTATCATAACAAGCCAAATAACCCTTATTTTGTAATATATAACCATTTGTTTTTAATGTGCACTCAACTCCACGTTTCGAAGACTCAGGGAATTCACGGGGATTCCTAGCTCATGGTTAGGGGATTCCCTAATCTCGTTTACCAGAAATGTGTGCCTTTGCGCAATCAGCGTGGTGATTCAAAGGCGATGGCGGATGGAACATGAATTTAACTTTCAGTAAGCAAAAGGCCTATGTAAATTTAGGCTTTTATATTTTTCCTTTTCGAATTTTAACGCCTTCTCATCTACGGAAAGAAACCCAAGTAACGCCAGACAGACAGACACATCGCACGTGTGAGCGTGCGTAAAATGCATTTGATGCCTAGCCAGAGACGGATGAGGAAACGAGACACCCCACTCGCTATTTTTTCTGGTTCAATTGAAGTCAATGAACTAAGTCGACCAGACACAGCTGCTATCGCATTGGTGTCTATGGGATAGCCACCCCGTTAAGCAGAAAGGAACTGACATTTTATTTTTCAATGGTAAACGGCCTGAATTAATTATCTTCATTTATCCACCATCTTTGGCCCAGCTACTAATAAACAGCGAAATAAAGTATTGAGTTAACATTCAGAAATAAAATCCAGTGACAACGGTAAGTTCCATTTTGCTTAATTTTAACGCTATGTATGAAAACATATGTATGAAAAACAGCCTACCCAAACACATCCAGAATAGGAGAATGCCCTGTATCGCCATGATATGCTCAACAAATGCAAATCCCGTGGAGAGTGTACGCGCACCTGAGATCACACCCAGAATATGTAATTCTATTGGATCACATTCACACCTCATACGGGACCCTGGCGGTCCTGTTTGAATTTATTACTGAAGCGGAAGTGCCCGTGTACACCCACTGTGACGAAGCACATTCTATGTTTTTAGTCATTTGCAGACGGCTCTCTACGGGAATACACATAGTTTCACGTCCATTTGAGCCTATTATATAAACTGATTAACTTCTGTTCTGGATCATCATCTTCATTGCTGTAGTTCTACGAATATGTTTTTTCAACTCGTCTGCATTCTAGGTATGTTGTCATTTCTATTTAACAATGAGTTTGATATCAGTCTAACTAGGCAGGCTCACCTGAAATGATGATTTACCTTGTGTTTGTCTATAGCTGCCTGCTTGCAAGGTGGGCTTACACATGATAGGCCTACACGAGAGGTGAAGTCAGTTTGTGGAGAGGACTCAATTCTTAAATGTAAAGTAATATGTAAGCCTGGGGTCCAGTACCGGGCAGTGAAGTGGTACAAGGTAAGCTTTCTATTATTGTGATAGCACAAACTGTGTGTTTTGAAGTATGCAATATATGCATAAAATATACAGCACTGGTCCCAGACCAGCAACCTGGTCTCAGAGCATTTTGTATTATTCTGTACGTAAATCCGAGACACTTCATTTAGTGTGTTATGTTACGTTTGGTATGGTTACATAAGACAGATGGTTACTTAAGGGAAAAACTAAAGGACGGTGATTGGTCAGGGAGGATAGGCGGGCATATAACGCAAATATTTAGCAAACCAAAGGTTGCGAGTATGAATCTCATCAGGGACAACATTAGCATTTTAGCTAATTAGCAGCTTTTAAACTACTTAGCATGTTAGCTAACCCTTCCCCTAACCTTAACCCTTTTAGCTAACTCCTAGCCTAGCTAGCATTAGCTAGAATTCGTAGCAAATTTGTAATATTTTGAACGTTTAGCAAATTCGTAACATATAATAGGAATAGTAATTTGTAACATATCATACGAAATAGGTGATAGATATCCACAAATTAATACATACCATAAGAAATGTAACATATCATACTTACTGCTACGTCTTGGATTTACATACAGAATCATACGAAATGCTCTGAGACCAGGTTAAGACCAGCCGTTAGAGGCATAGAGTAACCTCCCACCCTCTTCTCCCAGCTCGGTGAGGAGCCCTCTAATAAGGTGTCTGGTCTATTGATGAAGAGGCTATCACCTAACAGCACCACCCAATGGTACGCCGGTCTGGAGCGTGAAGTGGAACTTTTGGCTGATGATTCTTTCGATATCTTCCTGCCCAATGTAACAGCTGTTGATAGCGGGAGGTATAAGTGTCTCCTGGCAGCACCTGTAGGAGAACAGAACCAGGAGGGGCAGGTTCACCTCAGAGTGACAGGTGAGTGTTCTACTCTCATTATGTGCTTGTTTTGGTACATAGACCTACTGTATGTGAGTGTTTTAAATTGGACCCAGAGAGAGTTCATCTTTTAAAATGTTTCCAGTGATGCTCAAGGATTTGTGGAAAACATTTTTGCAGGTTGCCTTGAGTCCACAGACCAATCAGAAGAAAGGGATACCATCCTAGTTCTTTCCATTGTGGGGCTTGTGGCAGCATTGCTGATATTCACCATCAGCTATGTGAGTTACAACACTGCCCGCTGTTCCTCTGACTTATTTTTTTGTATTAAAATAGATAAAAGAAACTAACATTTTATGGTGATGGTTTCCATGTATTGCATGTATTTCATTTTCTTTTAAATGTTTCAGTTATTTACTCAATAATGTTAATCTTTACCATAGGTCATCCTACGGAATATGTTATTGCAAAGGAGTAAGAAGTATCCACAAGAACCACTTCTAGATGCACACCTTGAGAAGAAGGATTTAATGTTGATCTACACTCTGGGGCCAAACTGGTCAGGACAGGCTTCCATAAAACATGTCTGTGTGTGAGAGCCTGTTCTGCTAGTTTGGGCTCATTGTATACTTGAATGTGAAGAGGAAATGCAGAGAAAGCTTTGAAGCTGAGCAAGGAGCCTAAGAGGAGCTTAAGAGTCATGTCTACTTTCCAGGAGAAGAGTTCACCTCTAGAGCAGGGAGGCAGACAACCCTCTGGCCGGGTCTGTAGAACTAAGATGTGTAGGCTTTTCAAAGAAATGAAACAGAAACAGAAGCCTACACCCTTTCACTCAGACAGCCAAACAGCAGTACAGCCAGGCTTGGGCAGCAGTTCTCCAGCAACGACTGCTTGTCTGCAGCATTCACACACCTGAGATGCTCAAGAAGCAGGGCCTAGTGAAGGGACCCCACGATCTAAGCCCCAAGATCTAACCTCGACAAGGAGCTTCAGGAAAGGGAGAAGGAATAATTCATGACAAGGGGTCATTCTGCAGGGTCGCTCCATGGCAATGTTGGGGTTAAACCCATTTACATTTCAGTCAACCCAGGAATTGAAGTTGACGTTGAGTTTGAACTGGAAAATGACCAATGTGTGCAGCATTGAATTTCATGCCTAATTAAATTCCTGTATTGACTGGTATTGAAATGGAATTGATCTGAGCACTGTTTCATGGGGCTCATTCGTGTTGGAAGGGTTTGGTCACGCTGGACTCTGCACAGAGAGATGAAACCAACGAAGACGGCATTCCATCTGAGACAAGCAAAGCTCCCAATGAACTCTAATGTTCAGGCATAATTGATAACTTTTTGTTATTTTGTGAGGCCAAAACAGTATTTTATTAATTTCTGTTTTTCTACATAGTATGCTGTTTGAAGTGCTAAATGGCTGGCAACAAATCTCTACCTATTTCACACGACACATTCTGTTATATTTTATACTACCTTGACATTAGTCATTTCCGTTACCTGTCAATGTTGTAATGTGCACATTTTAAAATGGTTGATCACAATTATCCTCAAGGATAACACAAAGTGTTAGCTGAAATATTATATTTTGGATAGCTGTTTGAATTGTTATACATAAATGCCCCTTTACTAATCTTTTAAGTGACAACATTTCTCTGAAGTCTCTGTCATCGACAATCACATTACCCCAAACACATTACAAGGTAATAACATCACAAAGCATAAAATGGAAGCCAGGTGGGTTACATGTGATCTAAACAACATTGAAAATGAAAATCCTTTACAAACATGAAATTCCATGTAGCTTAAAAAAATGAAATACTATAGAATAACTAAATATTTGTTTTTAATTGCATCACCATATCACAGGGCAGTTTGACATGAGGAGTGCATGGATATGGGTCATATACAATAACAGTGACCTTTTTTCATGCCAACTGTGTGATCATAGCACTTAACACATTATTGCACAATAATAATAAGCTTAACAGAATTAAAGAGTACAAATGCAAAGCAACAAGAAAATGTGCTTATTCGCTGCTCATGTAATACTAGTGTGTATCAAATTAGGTCTGTCAGTTAATATAAATAAGAGGAGAAAAACGGATATTTCGTAAGTCTCCATGAAATGTACAAGGTGATATCAACCTATTCAGTTAGTCACTTGTCTCTAAGCTTATTGTCTGATAGGGATAAGTGTAGCTTGTAACTTCAACAATATATTTATTTCCGTACCAATAATAAATTGCAGAGTAGATAGTGGACACTATAAAAATAAGTTTTAACATTTTTATCCTAATTTTGATACTGGTCCGTCCACAGGTTAACTGAGTACCTTCCTCATAACACAACATCATTAGGATTTCAGACCAGTAACTCTGCAATTGCCAGTTCATTTCATCACTTCCAAGCCCAAGATGAACTGATTAACCTTGAGCGCTTTCTGTTACTGCTCTGCATCTCTAACATCTATAGTGCCTTCAGAAACATTCATACTCCTTAATTTATTCCACATTTTGTTGTGTTACAGCCTGAATTTGTATTTATTATGGATCCCAATTAGCTGCTGCCAAGGCAGCAGCTACTCTTCCTGGGGTCCAGCAAAATTAAAGCAGTTATACATTTTAAAAACATTACAATACATTCATAACAGATTTCACAACATATTAAGTGTGTGCCCTCAGGCCTCTACTACCACTTATCTATAACACAAAATCCATGTGTACATGTGTGTATAGTGCGTATGTTATCGTGTGTTATGCATGTGCCTATGTTTGTGTTGCTTCACAATCCCCCATGTTCCATATGGTGTATTTTTATCTGTTTTTTAAATCTAATTTTACTGCTGGCATGAGTTACCTGATGTGGAATAGAGTTCCATGTAGTCATGGCTATATGTAGTACTGTGCGCCTCCCATAGTCTGTTCTGGACTTGGGGACTGTGAAGAGACCTCTGGTGGCATGTCTTGTGGGGTATGCATGGGTGTCCGAGCTGTGTGCCAGTAGTCAATGTCAATACCTATTCAGAATGGATTAAATCAATTTTTTCTCTCACCCATCTACACACAATACACCACAATAACAAAGTGAAAACATGTTTATAGAATAAATGAAAAAATGAAATACAGAAACATCTAATTTACATAAGTATTCACACCCCTGAGTCAATACATGTTAGAATCACCTTTGGCAACGATTACAGCTGTGAGTCTTTCTGGGTAAGTCTCTTAAGAGCTTTGCACACCTGGATTGTACAATTTTTGCACATTATTCTTAAAAATATATAGTATACCACTCTGCTGGCTTGCCTCTGAAGCTAGCAGGGTTGGTCCCTGGATGGAAGACCAAATGCTGCTGAAGTGGTTTTGGAGGGCCAATGCCCCAGGGAAGTGATTGGGGACATTGCCCTATGTAGGGTGCCGTCTTTCAGATGAGATTGTTAAACGGGTGTCCTGACTCTCTGTGCTCACTAAAGATCCCATGGCACTTATCGTAAGAGTAGGGGTGTTAACCCCAGTGTCCTGGCTAAATTCCCATACCATCATGGCCACCTAATCATCCCCAGCTTCCAACTGGCTCATTGTCACATCTCCTCCCGTTGCTCCCCTCCGGCGCTCTGATTCGCCGGTCTACTGAGCCACTGGTCTGAGCGCACCACCTCGGCAACACCGGAATGGAAACCCAACGCACCCTAATCTCCTCCAGCGCACCTGCACCTCATCATCATCCCTATATAGCCCTGGGCGTATGTGTGTGTGTTGCCTCTTCGTATCCTCAGTACTCGTCACACTCATTCATCCCTCCCCTCCTCTCCCCTGTAACTATTCCCCAGGTCGTTGCTCTAAATGAGAATGTGTTCTCAATCAACTTACCTGGTAAAATAAGGGATAAGTAAAATAAATAAAAATAAGCCAGTGGTTCTCAAGCAGGGGACCTAGGGCTCTAAGGGAAAGGGACTCAGAGCTTTAAAGGTTCCTTGAAAAAGTAGGGAGAATAGAGTTTGACACACATTAAAATATCAAAAGCAATGTTCAATTTGATATAGTGAGTGTCAACAATTAATATCAAACAGCCAGTTTACTCTTTAAAATGACATCTCTAATGTAGGGGGACCCCAGATTTTCTGAAACAATTTTACAAAGTAAGCCTTGGACAAGTAAGCAGGGCCAGAACGGCCCATAGGGGACCCCAGATTTCCTGTAACTGTTTTAAGGGGCCTCAGAAAAGAAAAGATTGAGATGCCCTTGCCCTTTGGAAAAAGATCAGGCAATGATTTGACTTTTTTATTCAAATACCTGTGCTGTGAGGGAAAACTGACTATACCGAGACAAGATGTAAATGTAAATTTTGGTGGCCCTTTAAAAGAATACCAGTGACTCGATTCACAGGACTCGACGCCAGGGGAATTCCCTGCTAGTGGAATTCTAGCTCTTGGTTCAGTGCTTCGAGACCGCAGCCGAGCCTGGTCCAGAGCAAGGGGAATTCCTATGTTTGTGTTGCTTCACAATCCCCCATGTTCCATATGGTGTATTTTTATCTGTTTTTTAAATCTAATTTTACTGCTGGCATGAGTTACTTGATGTGGAATAGAGTTCCATGTAGTCATGGCTATATGTAGTACTGTGCGCCTCCCATAGTCTGTTCTGGACTTGGGGACTGTGAAGAGACCTCTGGTGGCATGTCTTGTGGGGTATGCATGGGTGTCCGAGCTGTGTGCCAGTAGTCAATGTCAATACCTATTCAGAATGGATTAAATCAATTTTTTCTCTCACCCATCTACACACAATACACCACAATAACAAAGTGAAAACATGTTTATAGAATAAATGAAAAAATGAAATACAGAAACATCTAATTTACATAAGTATTCACACCCCTGAGTCAATACATGTTAGAATCACCTTTGGCAACGATTACAGCTGTGAGTCTTTCTGGGTAAGTCTCTTAAGAGCTTTGCACACCTGGATTGTACAATTTTTGCACATTATTCTTAAAAATATATAGTATACCACTCTGCTGGCTTGCCTCTGAAGCTAGCAGGGTTGGTCCCTGGATGGAAGACCAAATGCTGCTGAAGTGGTTTTGGAGGGCCAATGCCCCAGGGAAGTGATTGGGGACATTGCCCTATGTAGGGTGCTGTCTTTCAGATGAGATTGTTAAACAGGTGTCCTGACTCTCTGTGCTCACTAAAGATCCCATGGCACTTATCGTAAGAGTAGGGGTGTTAACCCCAGTGTCCTGGCTAAATTCCCATACCATCATGGCCACCTAATCATCCCCAGCTTCCAACTGGCTCATTGTCACATCTCCTCCCGTTGCTCCCCTCCGGCGCTCTGATTCGCCGGTCTACTGAGCCACTGGTCTGAGCGCACCACCTCGGCAACACCGGAATGGAAACCCAACGCACCCTAATCTCCTCCAGCGCACCTGCACCTCATCATCATCCCTATATAGCCCTGGGCGTGTGTGTGTGTGTTGCCTCTTCGTATTCTCAGTACTCGTCACACTCATTCATCCCTCCCCTCCTCTCCCCTGTAACTATTCCCCAGGTCGTTGCTCTAAATGAGAATGTGTTTGTAGTGGCTTCCTTTCCTCTTTACCATAGCCACTGCCCTAGCCTGAAGCGGGGTTGTTTCGGACGCATACAGTCCACACTCAACGTTTCCAAACGGCCAAACATTCAATGAGATCCAGGGATATAGTGCAACAGAAAATGTTTATTCTTCTTATCTAACAAAAAGGTATTCTCCAATCAACTTAAAGCAGAGATTACTTGAAATGCAAATACATAATATAATATGACCTGTCTGTCTGTATTTCTGTATGTCTATATGGTCAAAAAACTATACCGCTCCCGCATCTAGCAAGGACTCCTCCCCCCGAAGGCCCAACTTCCTGCCTTTATACTAACACAATTAACACAGTACAATGAATGGGCAAGAGGGGGGGCCAAAAACTGAGTTACA